GGCACCGCCCAGACCCTCCGTGGTGCCACGTGTGCCCGGCATCAAGCCCCAGTTGTGGGATGTTCCTGAAGGTCTTGTCCTCAGGAGCATCGGTGGTCGGCTCCTGGAAGTCACGGTGCTTCTCGGTGCCTTGTGGCCCAGGGGGGTGTCCGGTTGAGGAGGCGTACGGGGTAAAACCTTCCCAAATCGGTGCTGCAGTTCCAGCCACCAACTCCTGCTGTTTCCTCTAGGTAAATGTGATGTGACCATCGGTGAGACCACCATGGAGACAACCATGACCGAAACGTCCCCCACAGAGACGACCACCACTGACACGACCACCACAGAGACAACCGCCGAGACGACCGCTGCCCCCATGACCGCCGCACCGAACATCACTATCTCCAAAAACACAAAGAACCAGACTTTCATCTCCTCCCACGCCCCAGTCTTCCCCACCGCTGGCAACACCACAAACCTCCAGCCCAGCAACAGCTCCGCAGGCAACGCCACGGCCAAGAGCACCTCGGCGCCCATCTCTAGCACCACCGTCATCTCCCACGCCAACGCCACCACCAACGGCAGCAACTGGATCACCCCTTCCAGGACCAACGCAACCAACAGCAGCTCTGAGGCTCCCACCTCCCTCCCGGGTGGTGGCACGGTGATCCCCATCTCCAGCACCAAAGACAACGGGAGCACCAGCGTTCAGGTCGTCCCCACGCGGCAAACTTCTGACACCACTCGGGCCAGCACGGCTCCCAGGCAGACCTCCACGGCCGTGCAGGGCAGCAGCGGTGGTCCCAGTCCCAGCAAAACCACAGTCCTCCGTCCCACCGGGGTCCAGCTCCTCCTCCGCGTCCCACTGTCCTTCCGCATCCTCAACAGGAGCTTCAACGAGAGCCTGCGCGACCCCACGTCGAAGGAGTACAGGAGCCTGAGCCACAATGTCTTGACCATGGTGAGTCCCAGCCCTGCCCGGGGGCTGCCCTGGGCGAGCAAAGACACCCCCCCCCTCCCAGTCTGTGCTGGGAAGGAGCCACCTCCCACCAGGGCTCCCCACAAAAGAGCCACGACCGCTTCGG